TCTTGTAAAATTACTAATTGTAAAGCGCGTCGAAAAGCGTATATATGAGACAGAAAGAAACTTAACAAAAATGTTTTTCTTTCCTTTTTTTTCTATTTAACAATCGGCAATGTTCTGTTCTGTGCGTGACCAAAAGAACAGAAATATGTGCATATTTTAAATAATTATCATAATTACTTCCATAATTATTTTCCAGGTATTACGTAAACTACACTCAAAGAATATACATAAGTATATATCGTGTATACATGTTTAATTCTTTGTAACATTTAAAGTTGTGAGGTTTAAAAACCTGATCAGAAGGGAGACATGTTTTATAATTGATAAGTGACAAATGATTATCTTTTATAGCGAATAATATGAATACCGCGATTTTAAGGAGGACGGCAAGTAAGAGAGGAGAATTAAAAGAAGGAAGAAACAAACGTGACGTGGTTAGGTTTTGGATAATTATGCATAGGCCACTGGGGAGAATTAGTCGATTTAAGTGGCAAACGAGAATGTCGTCCGATGTCAATTGACTTAAGCTAGTTTGGCGAGTAGGCGTTGAAATTTATTCCTAGAAACACTTGCGCGAATTGAAGCGAATCAATCCAACGCGGCGTTTCCTTCGTCTCGACGTTCGCCTCCTATCTTATTTTCCTCCGTTTGCTTTTCTTTTTATTTGCTTTCTCTCTTTCTCTCTCTCTCTCTCTCTCTCTCTCGGGGCAACGTCTAGGAGAGCGCGGTGTTAATCTGAGCGTGATAAGAAAGGCACCAGTCGAGTGTAATCGGCCGTGAGGTTTTGTAACATCGACTGAGAGGAAATGAGAGGAAAAAAAAGGAGGAATCATTTGTTCTGGTGTGACGCAGTCTCTTAGCGATCGTAATTGCTAACATAACACGTAGAAGCTGCGACAAGGCATTTGTGTACATAGAGGGGCGTAGGTAGATAAACGTGTATACGTATTAGATATCTAAAAATAAAAAGAATACTGCATTTTTCTGAGGCATTAGTAATTTTCGTGTTTTTACGGAAGTTTCCAAAAGTTTCATAATTTGATAATTTTGTTATCTTATTGATAATTTTTTCTTAAGTTACTTATAAAGTAAGTTTTATCATTTTTAAGTCGCTTGGTTACAAAGATATTTGGGATTAATCTCGAACTTAGAAAATTACAAAAAGTGAGAGAGAGAGATATGGTGCATTTTTTTAAATTGAATTTTTATTAAATATATCTAAATTGATTGCAGATTTTTGTCAGAAATTTAATTTTTCTTCCAACAAAAAATCAATTGTATTAAAGAAATCTCATGTTTGTAGCTAAAGTCAGCCCATAAATGATATGCAAGGGATTACGCTATCGATTATACGCGGTATGACTCATGCACTAAACTACCGGTGATAAATATCACGATGAGTACTTACTCGGCGGCGGTCCCTTTAGAGTGATGCTCGTCATTCTTCACTAATGTAATTATCTCCATTGTAGCCGACGATGATTCGCATATCGTTCAAAAGGTTTCTCACCGCGGTCAAGTAGAACCGATTGCATTTAGAGATAGAAAGAGAGAGGGAGAGAGAAACTGTGGACACTCTTATTTAAAGTTGATTAGATAAGACGAGATGAAGTCTTCTGATTCGCATAACGGTCAATTAGAGTCGTCTCTTCGAGGCGGTCATCTATAATAAATAGTAAATGTCTCACGTATGCATACTTTCTACGCGATAATTTATAACGGCGATAATTTATAAATGGAAGAATAATTTGCTTTAATTTCGTCTTGCCTTTTTCGATCTTCATCGTTGAAGTGGATTCTACTTCAATCACACAATCTCCAAGATATAAATAATATTGAAACCTGTAATAAGTTGTTACTCTTATCATCTCCTGACGCGTTTTTATCTTGTGAAAATAAATATAGAAAAATTCACGCTAAAAAAGAAATCTATCTGATGATAACAATGATACCGATAACACCGTAATGTAAAGTATTGATTAGCGTAAAGACGTTAAATAAAAAAATACCGTTACGAAAAACGGTGTTACATCATATTATATCATCACGATTTCGAACTCGTGGAATATTACTCGGTTCATGTAGCTTTATATACTTAATAAAGTAAAACATTTTAACATTTTTCTTTCACGGATATTTGTCATGGCACTTGAACATATTGAATTACACGCATGTGCGCACATTCGACATCTTATTCGCCACATCTCTGTGAGTGTTAATTGGCGGATCGTCGATCAATCAACGATACATCACAGTAAAAAAACATTTTGTATTTATGTTGGAAACGATTCACTCGCGTTCTTGCTAAAATTTTGTGTCGAATTTTTAACATATATTTGCTTGTGAAATTAACATAATGTGATTATGTTATTTAAATATTTTGTGTTAAATTCAATATTTCTTAGTGTCAAAATAACACAATTTATAAGCAAGTGAATAAATAACATAAAAATAAAGTAGTTTCAAACCGTAAATTTTAAGATAAATGAAATAAAAGATAAATATACTTGTTAATTTTACTGAAGAATAATGTTTCCACAATTTGTTTCCAAATTGTATTTAAAGTGTTACATTTTTTGTATTAATTTTACATAATGTTTGTGTTAATTTCTAACATATCCATCTTGCGTTAAATTAACACAAAGATTTGAGTGGACTGTTTGGGACGTGTCAGACGTGTTAAATTTAACAAATTTTTCAACTGTGTACGATGCCAAATTTGATCTTTTTACGTCGACTTTGATTAAGTGTACCACATGTATCGTGGGTCGTCGACGTGAAATATTACAACATTTTTGTATTTCGTAATTTATACGGATTTTTAATTGTTAATTATCAACAATGAAACTAGCAGACATTACGCGATGATGTTTACATATGCCTTACACACAATCGATTACGATCTAATGACTCATCTTTATTGATTGCCGCGCAAAGTATCTCGACAGTTTCCATTGCAAAAAGACAAAAAGTTCTGAAGAGGTTTACGTGAGATTTGCGCGAACTTTGTCGATCCTTGAAAATAAAATCGATGTTATTCCGTAACTTGAATAAAAGAGAAATATCGTATTTTCAACAGATTTATTTTTTTCTTATCTATACAAGCTGCAATGCTATGACGTTGATTTTTCTTTCAAGATTTCGAATTACGATCTTAAAAAGCATTGAATTTAAGTATAAATTAAAAGATTTGAAATAAAAATGGAATTGATTTGTGTGAATCCCAAAATATAATTTTATGCTGTTTAAAACAATATCAAATAACATTCTACGAGCAACGAAATTGTTTGTCAAATTACAAAAATTGTGTGATGTCTTCATATGATCATTTCTACACAGTGTTAGCATTTGTAGCGACGTTTCCGTTGATAGTTCACAACTCAATTAACTCGCGTCATAATCTTTTTTGGCGTAACCCTCACCTCGGCATTGGTCCCGCGATTCGTCCTTCGGTTATTTCCGTGAAAATTTGGCAGAGTATCCTCACATTAACTAGTTACAGGATATGTCTTGGCGAACATCTCAGGAGTGTCAATAACGATATGTCTTTATAATTTATCTTTATAATTATTACAACAATATTTAAAGGACACGTGTATACAAAACGTAGAATACATTACATATATTATATAAGACAATATACACACAAAATACTCTTGGGAATATTCGCATTAAGCGTAATAACAAATTCTGTGATCGTCGATTTTATTTTACTTTCAAGTAGAATTTTCCGCGAATAGGGGCGACTAAAACCTTTAGAATTTTAAACTACATAAATTATTAGAAATGCGGTTTAAAGCGGTCTTAATGTTATTTTTCTGCTTAATATTATTTTTCTGTGAATCTTACAAATTTCCAGTTGAGGCATACTGCACGTCACACATTCGTCTTGAAACACAGCTTACTGTGCTATCCGGACTACGTAATATTACAATTAAATTGACAAGCAATTTAATAACTTTTGATGCTAATGAGCTTATTCTTATTCTTAATGATTATTTTTCCTGTAGAATAACTTATTGCGAAAATTAATTACTTTAGTTCCAGGTTCAAATCCTAACTGAGATAATATTTTTTGCAATAAGTTATTCCACAGGAGAAATAATTATTAAAAATAAGATGCTCATTAGCATCAAAAGTTATCAAACTGCTTGTCAAATTAATTGTGATATTACATAATTCGGATTCAGTATGAAGCTGTGTTTCAAGACCGACGAATATGTGACGCGCAATATGCCTGAACTGGAAATTTGTAAGATTCACACAAAAATAATATTACCAAGCACCAAGACCGCATATGGCTTTTCTAATAATTTATGTAGTTTGAACCTTCTCGATTAAGGTTTTCATACAATGTTTAGAATTTTAATTTAAAACTTATTATTACGCAGATATTTTTAACAAGAAGGCACAATATAAACAGTGCTCTATTTTAGAGATTGTTATTTTTAGAAATAATTTCTTTAGAAAAGTTGAGACTTTCAATTTGTAATTAAAATCAGAAGTGCGGATAAGAATTTAGATATTTTTAATATACAGGATGTCCCGAAATTCGTGAATCAAAATATCATAGCAAGAAAAATTAAGTAAAAGTTATTTGTAAATTTTTAATTTAAACAATAGCTTTTGAGATAAATATAAGAGTTTAAATCTAGCCAATTACAGATTAGTACTCGCATGAAGTACGCGACCACTAGCACTATCGACGCGTTCAGGGACATGATTCCTTTTACTCGTAATTTATAATTGGCTAAAATAAATTTCAACTTTTATATCTCAAAAACTGCTGCTTAAATTAAAAATTTACAAATAATTTTTTTACTTAATTTTTCGAAGATTTTCTTGCTATAACATTTTGATTCGCGAATTTCGGAACATCCTGTATAAAGGATATTGAGTATAACATAATACGAGATATGTTACACAACATTTCGTCCATCTCACTTTTATAATACCCGCGCAGTATAATAATACTCTACGTTTTTTTCTTATTCTTTCAGTTCGATTTGGGAAACGTCACATGGTGACTTTCATGATATTCCTCGGTATGGCGAATGCCTACATAATGAGGACCAATATGTCCGTGGCTATCGTCGCGATGGTCAATCATACAGCCATCAAGAATACCGATGAGCTGATAAAAGTCGAGGTCGAGGAATGCGGAAAGCTCGCCAATGAAACCGACGCTGCCGAGCGCGTGAGTACACACAAAATTTCATAGTTCTTTTTTTCCTGAGACATTGCGAAAATTTGTGTGACGGAGAAAGATACAAAAATGCGCGCGTCTTTGTCTGTACAGAGCGCCGACGGGCCATTTGTATGGGACAACAAGCAACAGGGCTATCTCCTGAGTTCATTCTTCTGGGGCTACGTTATCACGCAAATACCGTTCGGTATACTTGCCAAGCGTTACGGCGCGAAATACTTCCTCGGGGTCGGCATGTTGATCAATTCGATTTTCGGATTGCTAGTGCCAGTGTCCGCGTATTGGGGATACTGGCCGCTGATAATCGTCCGCTTCATACAGGGCTTAGGAGAGGTAAGTGTTAACGCATCCCTCGAAAAATCTCTCATCGTTACAACGTTAATAGTTTGATTGAGACTCTCGAAAAGAGCGAGCGAAGATGAGAATGTGTGATGTTTCGGGATCGGTTATCTGTTGTTCCAAATACCTATTGTACTTTACTGCTTGCGAGCAACTTTCAATTCGTTCGTAAGTATAAAAATTTCACAATTTAACGTTGAAAAAAAGAAATTTGACACAAAGGGATATGCATTGTACAAAGCATTATATATTTTCTTTATCCTTTGTTTCAATCCTTATCTTCTATACATTATGCATTATTGACAAACTTTTGATGAGGCATAAGAGTCTCTGTGTATTTGCAGAGACATATTTGGTACATTAGCTTTATTACTATTACATTAACATAGTAAAATAATAATAATAATAATAAATATAAGTAATTATAAATAATAGTCATAAGCTTAAAGGATTACTGATCCGTTTGAGTGTGAACGTTTTTTGATTGTACGGGTGTATTTCCTTCCCCCTAGGAATGGATTAATCCCTATTGCAGGGTCCTATTGTGCCTTGCACGCACGCACTGCTGGCGAAGTGGATACCACCTAACGAACGGAGCAGGATGGGTGCCTTTGTCTATGCCGGTAAGCTCGTTCAGTGCGATTTCATTCACTCCTTTATGTAGCGATTTTTCGCGCCGTGTACCGAGTCGAGAGAGCTATAGTTCGCCGCGCGAGAATCCCTCCTCTCTGTCCTCTGGGGGCACATTTCGATGCATCGAGTCACTACTGAGTACGCACGCGCTTCTTGCTGCGACGGGATTTGTGGACCGTGGACCGTGGACCTTTTCAATTTCTCGAGTTACCCTTCTTTTATAACCATTCACGTCTACAAGGTTTTTTTTCGTTGGTAAAAAAAAAAAAAGAGAAAGAGGAGGATCGGACGCTCGATGACGATTACTAATTGTGTTCTTTTGCATTTTTTTTTTCTCTTCGTATCCGACAGGTGCGCAGTTCGGCACGATAATATCCATGCCACTGAGTGGCCTCTTGGCCGATTGGGATTTGGTAGGTGGCTGGCCATCTATTTTCTACGTGTTCGGCGTTATTGGCACTTTCTGGTGCGTAGCGTTTCTCCTGTGGGTCTACGAGGATCCCGAGCAACATCCGACCATCGCAGAGGAAGAGAAGAAGTTCATACTTAGCTCTCTCTGGGGTAGCGCCGGCATATCTGTGAGTTATTCTCTCGCATTTCTTCGCCATTAATTAAACATTTATCTTTTGTCATGTTAAATCAGAGTACTACCGGAAAAACCTGGAATTCTGAGGGAATTTTATTTTTACCCTTGAAAATCATGAATTCTCATGGAATTTTACTGGTACTCAGGGAAATTTTTTGAATTTTTAAAATTTAATTTTATCCCTTTAGAAAATAAACGTGGCCGCATATCGAAGGCCCCTGATATTGAAAGTTAATTTATTTTAAAATTGACGTGTACTATATGAAGACTCTTAAAAAAAACGATAATCCGGAAATAATAAATCAGGCATTAAGAGTCTAATAACGCAGAACTTGGTGCGTGAAACAATTTAATCTTCACATATGTAGTTACATCTTCATACAATCTCTTTCGTGTTCGTTTGAAAAATTTTGTACGGAGATGTAACTACTGTACATATGTGAGAAGATTAAATTGTTTCACGCATCAAGTTATTAGAACTCTTAGTGCCTAATTTATTTTAAAGCTGTATTGAGAAATTTTCTAATCTTACCTGGAATTTTGAATAAAATTTCTGGAAAATCCGGGAATTTTCAGGGAATTCTTTTACAAAATCTGAGTACCCACACTGTAAATGAATATTTATCTTAATCTACTACTCTTAATCTACTTCTTATAATAACAGATTTCTTCTAACGGCAAAGCTGAGATAATTAATGTTCTTTCTTCTTTTAGTCGTCGCCTCCTGTGCCATGGAAGTCCATTGCAACCTCGTTACCATTTTGGGCTATTCTGATGGCACATATGGGTCAGAATTATGGATACGAAACTTTGATGACTCAACTTCCGACATTCATGAAACAGATTCTTCATTTTAGTATCAAAAAAGTAAGTAATGTTAATGAATGATATATTTAAACTGGGAGCGCGAGCGTGACGTAGCAGACAGCGCACTGGTCTGTTACGCCGGATTTGATTCCCACACGGAGAGAATTTCCTTTTAAAATTTACCCTGAAAAATTTGTCAATCGTGGGACAACATAGTATTTTGACAAATTTTACTCTGCACTGCAATAAATTTGTTGTAGAATATATTTAAAAGAATCATATAAAATTTGTCGAAATGCTATGTTGTCCTATGATTAACATGATTTTCAGGGTAAATTTTAAAATAAAATTCCGTGCAGTAGAACCAACAAATTTTCATACGCCTGCTTTCATATGTCTCCTCTCCGGAGGTCTGACAAACTACCGAAAGAGTATCCTTTGCCGCGAAAAACCTTTCTTAAAACTGCCGTTCGGCAGTTATCGGCTTTAAATTATACACAGAATTTTATTTTAAAATTTACCCTGAAAATCATGTTAATCGTAGGACAACATCTAAGTATTTCGACGAATTTTATATGATTTTCATTATTCTTTCTAATTTCTACTAATTTTTTTAATATACAAATTTATTGTAGTACACAGTAAAATAATTTGTCGAAATACTAGGTTGTCTTACGATTAACGTGATTTTCAGGTTAAATTTTAAAAGGAAATTCTTTCCGTGTAAGTCCCATCATTAGAATAAAATTCTTAAATTGGAGAAAAGAAAGTATTTTTTTTTTAAATCAATCATTTTTCTGTATTTCAGAATGGTATTTATTCGGCACTCCCGTACTTCGCCATGTGGCTCTTTTCCATGTTTATCTCTCACGTCGCCGATTGGATGATCTCTTCGGGAAAATTTACTCACACTACAACTCGCAAGATCGTTAACAGCATCGGCCAGTTTGCACCGGCTTTCGCATTGATTGCTGCCTCGTACACCGGTTGCAATGCCTGGTTGACAGTGACCATTATTACACTGGGAGTTGGTTTGAATGGCGCTATTTACTCCGGTTTTAAAGTTAATCATCTCGACGTCTCTCCGAGGTTTGCCGGGATTTTAATGTCCTTCACAAATTGCATCGCCAATCTCGCTGGGCTTCTCGCACCGATTACCGTTGGGGAAGTTATTGCCAAATCGGTAAATGTATACAATTAGTCCTTTAAAACGCCGAAATGACGAGGTATACGCGTAATTGGTAATTAAATGCAATAATACTTACATGCAATATTATATTTTAGCCGTCACAAGCAAAATGGAGGATCGTATTTATGATTTGCGCTGGTATTTACATCTTTTGTGCGGCGTTCTACGCAATTTTCGGATCCGGTCAGAGGCAGGCGTGGGACAGTCCAGACAAGGATGACGACAAGAACGAGAAGAATCAATTGGACAGTATAAAAATCGTGAACGAAACTCAACATTGACAAGTTGAATATTTTATCAATAAGATCAGTGGGTGATACGAGGAAGTCGACACTGATGACGTGACGATTGTGTCCACTTAGCCATTTCTGTTTACGCATATTCATTCCCTCCCTATTATCTAGCCATTCGAAACAAACGACTACATTTAAGTTAATCTCAGAATTGTATTTTTCTTTTTCTTTTTTTTTTACCGTAAAGATATAAAATTTTCATGATAATTGTCACAATTCGCATTGTATGTCTTTGTACTTTTGTATTGGATTGCAAAAGTTGTGTATCAATTGCTTTAATATTATATATCGTGCGTTTTGCGTAAAAGAATTTGTATGTGTGAGAGAGAGAGAGAGAGAGAGAGAGAGGAAAGGAAGGAGAGAAAGATGCATGTAGAATATACTCATAATCATGCTGTTATAAGCTTCGTTTCGCGTCATTTGTTGTATTTTATAATTTATCAATTTTTACATAATAATCTTACGTATTATGTAGAATTAGGAAGTCACACTTTAAGAAACTGGCATGTTGGAAAAACGATGGGAGAGATGATTCTCAAAAGGAACAATAAAGTGAAAACTGTTACTTGCAAATTAGCGAAATTCCCGTAAAATTGCTGAGCATGACAACAAAGCGGATGTAGTTCTGATAAAATTACAGTCATTTAAATTATTTCTTAATTTTGTACAGTCGAACCTCGATAACTCGGAATCTCGGAAGGGAGGAGCTATAAAATCCTCTAGTTATAGATGTGTTTCGACTTATCGAAGTGTGAGCGAGAGATAATTAACGTGAAAATTCGACTTACGGAAGCTTTGTACGTGATTTCATAATTTTCAGATTATAATAATGGCTTTTAAAGGAAAAAACTTCGAGTTTTCGAGTTATCGAGGTATCGACTGTATATCAAAAATTATCCATACAATTAAGAATATTCAAATCGCATTTTATATCACTGTTGCTTGAATATACGAGTGAGAGAGAAAGTTTGTGCTTATCAGAGACGATGTTAAACTCAATTGTGATATACGGTTATTGTTATTCGCGTAATACTAGCTTTGATCGAATCGGTATATATTATACTGTGTATCCCAGTAAAATTGTATATTTCACGATTTACACAGTCGGCTCTCCGTTAATTCGAGCACTTTTCACAGTCGTTCCGCGTTCGAGTGAAACTTAATCTCGGTCTTCCACTTTGTAACAGCACACATTGGCCGCTTTGCTACTTTCGTAAAATGGGATATATGCGCTGAGATTCGTACGATGAATTTAGAGTAGATTAACAAACGATTACGGCGGGAAAGGATCTGTCCATATAGCGTTTCCCCGATTACATCTTCAAGATAGGTTTCGTAATTTGTGTAACTTGACAAACTTGTGGCAGCAGTATTAGAGTGTAAAGATCCTCATCGTTTATCTTCCTTTGGTACATCACTTTTTTTTATTGTAACTACTGCCATTTTGTATTGCCTGCGTGTATGGCCTAAAAAGGGGGATGACAGTAGCGACAAATCCCTGTTTTATCCCCCTGTAGGAGAGGTCGCGGATCTTTATCTGGTAAATCCAGGCGAACAGCAGCAGCACAGTGTATACAATACAACAATGGTGTTTATACATATTGTAGATATTAGCGCGTAGGAGCCCTATTAAGTTATAGATATTAGATGTAAGTTACTGCTCGTAGTTATTTATATAGCGTTCACGGAAAGGAACAGAGAAAAGATCATTACTTCCATTTTTATTAAAATAGAAATTGTCAAACTGAATGATTTCGCACTTGTATAGTAAAATGCATTTTTTTTTCCATAAACGATAAGTCTCTCTTTTTTTTTTCTAAGCTGCACAAATCGAACAATAATTCTGACGACAGTAATTTCTTTTTCCGTACGATCTCGAGTGTCGAAACTACTTATTTTCTTGTAATCGACATTATTATCGATCATTATTTAATGAAATACGTAATGTAACGTACACGAAACACTCGCAGGGCTAAATCTAAAGCAAATTGTTTAAAAACTAAGTGAATTATTAAATTATTAAACATGTCTTGAAAACACTGTTAATTTATTCATCGTGCAATTTTATACAAAAACTTGGGAAATAAATTTAGGCAACAACGTTATACGTTTAACTGTTGGAAGGAAAAATCGATGCGAACATCTTGTGATCGTGTATCTAAAAGTGCCTTCAACACAAAGCGTTTGTTTTTCTTTTTATAAATAATGTATTCTTAAAATAAATTCTCGCGTTATTCCTAACGAGAAAAATGCCAAAATGTTTGCGAACGTTATTCCACATTCTCATAAGTATGCAAATTTCCATATAAACTTGAGAAACGTCAATTGAAAGTTACTTTACTGTAGCTCTTATGTAGTGTAACGCGATTAACAACAATTGTGAATGTAAATCGATTTGGGACACATTCGATGGGAGATGTAACGAGGAAAGTTATCCCCGTTAGATAAAGTAATCTAATGCAAAATTTCGCAAATCCCATATTTTTATATAAAACATTTATACATAGTGTACATACATAGGGCGATACACGATGCGATGTTGCAACATTAAACACGGTTTTTTATTGTTGGGATTGTAAAACATATGTGATAATAGAAACTGCAAGTAAATAAAATAAGATACAGCCGTAATCAGTTGTTGTTAGCTATTTGTTATTTTAATATATTGTTTTTTATAAAAAAAATTTTTGTGAGCAAAATATTAATAGCATGTTGATTTAGCAACAGATTTATTCAACATTGCAGCAGCTTAGCATTAATCTTGTTTTTTTGCCGGCACAATTTATTAAATATAGATTTGTCAAATACAGTTTTATTAGCAAATTAACGACAAAAATTAATAACGAATACATTGTTTCATTTTATTATATACTGTTCTTATCTTTTAATGATGTACATTTTGTATTAAGAAATAATAACTAGAAGGAGTCGTAATGTGTTTATGTTTGAAAACAAATTATACAAAAGTATGTAATCTGTACAGAATATCTACAAATTTTTGAAATGTTTTTGCATTATTTGTGATTCTGAAAAACGTATTTTATTTTTTTATATCCTTATTTCTATAAATTCTGAGAAATAGAAAGTGTCAGGAGAATATGATCGGATAAGAAATGACATCAAAATTAAATAATCATAATTTCAAGAATTCCTAAAATTTTCTTGTACTAAGAATTTTTGAATTGTGGAAGGTAAACAAGGTTTTAAAAAAATATAATAGAATGAGAGAATATTTGAATGCAAAAATTTATTAAAGCATTTATTATTTATTATATCGTTTAATAAAAAGGTCCTTTTAGAAAATATATAAAATGAAAATATATTGCTTCCGTAGTGATTTTGGGCGAGTTGAACATGATCCTGTTTATTAAATTGTTTTATCACGTTACAAAAAATTGCAGTTAAAGTTGCAAAAAGAGCTATTTTAGAGTATTTTTGCATATTAAAATTATGTGATATATTGGAGAATTTTATTGCAATTAGAATTAAGCGTATTCCTTAAAAAGAATTTATTGTGTCGATTACGATTAAAAAGATATTTATAATTAATTTATATCGCATCAAAGTTGCGATATGTGCTATTAGGAACTTATTTTTTTTAATTACGTAGCAACCGTAAAATTTTTTAGATCGTTGTATACTAATAACTACCAGAGTTAATAATTTAAATTGCATGAAAAATCTATAAATTCTAAAAATTCGAACATTTTTTTAATTTTAATATCTGCCACACTGATTCTGTTATTTTGAATGTATTCATTTTGATATCAGCGATCTAAACCCTTAAGTTTAATAATACATTTAAAAAATATTTGATAAATCCTTAATAGCATATATATATAATATATGTCATAACTTTAACGCAATAAACTCAATACCCTGAGAGATCAAACATAATGAGTTCGTAATCTCTAGCTGTTTACGTGACAAGAGATATAATAGTTTTAGCATCACGACAATTAATTTAGCATATCTCTCAAATGATAGGGATATATATGGCTTTTTTTAGGGAGGACCACCGACCTCAGAATATTTTTCTATCATTAATTGATGACCTATACTAATCATAAACAGCTTTTTAACCATAATCAACATAACATTAATTTCTTTTAAAGACTGAAGAAGTTAATTCCTCTTCCACGTCACAATAATAAATCGGGTTTTATAAGATTAGCAAAATAATATATTTACTTTACAATAATTGTTTTGGGCATAAAATCAAACGTGATTGTCCAAAAATAATATTTTACTCGCAATTCTCTAATTGCAATGAGTAATATATATATATTTTTTTTTACTTAAATATTTGCAATTTATTTAAATAATACATTATTAAAATCATGATTTTTATTATATAAATGTTTTATAAATAAATATGAATACTTATAATGCTACCGCAATATCATATATTTTGCAATATCATATCGCAAAATTACATCTTTTTTCGTTTATTTTACCATCTCTTTGGATAATCAAACACTGATAACTAAAAAAATGCAGTTTTAAATAATATTAACTATTAGCAAGATATAATACAAATGAAATACAATATAGTTATACATGTAGAGATGTATAAGCGTTTTTTTTTCTAATAGAAAAAAACATTAGAAAAAAAACGTGTTTATATTTCATTGAAAAAATACAAATTTGTTTTTTTTCTAGTTTCGATGGCACAACTAACTAATTGTAAATAGTAATTACATAATTATATAATTAATTTTAATCTACATTGATGTACGTGATTTAATCTACTGCAGTGATCTACATTTAACTTTTATAAAAGAAGAGTTTTTAATTCTTTTTTTAAACAGTTTTTTCTTCAGTAGAATTTATTATAATTATTTATTGAGGTTCTTGCTTCAAAATAAATATGTTTCAGAATCAATATATTGGCTTCCTCGTTCTGCAAAAATTAAAATGATAATTTAAATCTATTGTCTATAAAATAAACAAATCATGAAAAATTAACTTATATTAATAGCTTATATTAAAAATAGTAGATATTAAATAGATAGCTGAAAAAAAACAAAATTTGAGAAAAACAAGATTTTGTTTTTTTCTTAAAAAAAGTATTTTATGAAAAAACAATTTGCAGATTTTTTTTCTATTTACATCTCTAAGTGCATGTCTAAAAAACATTGAGCTAATAATAAATCATAAAATTAATATTATATTAATATTATATTATTAAACAGCCACGCAAACTAAGGATATTGGTCTTTAATAGTATCTCGTCGGTATATGTACACACGTATAAACATATGTACATACATACACGCGTACGTATAACACGACTGACACGAATAGACACACACGCACTGGCCGCACTGGCGTGACGACATCTGTGTACGTATTTGTACACCCGTGTATGTGTAGACTGATGTATACGTATTTGTGTATTTGTGCCTTGTGGCTGTCAGATATGTCGGATATAGTGAACTAATGCGTTGCACAGCAGCAAGTACATTCCTCAGGTATATTCATCTGTCAAGTCCCTCACATTTTTTCGGTTATCGTAATTTATGAACGAATATTGCAGAAAGCTATCGTTTTATCCCGCTGCTCCTTCGTTGTTCATTACTGTTATTTTTAGGTTAAGTAGCCTAGATAAAGGAGTGATGTCATCTGTTTTAGTATTGTTATTCATCGCAAGATAGAGAATTACGGGTAAAATATTATTTTTGGACAATCACATTTGATTTTCTGCCCGAAGCAATTATTGTGAAGTAAATGTATTATTTTGCCAATCTTACAAAACCCGATTTCGAAAGGATTAACGTAGGAGCGTCGTGCTCTCCAACAATCGCGATAATTTTACGTATAGCTCTGATTATAATCGAGCTGACGACATTTTTTGACATCTTTGCCATTTTTAATTTAATATCATTAACATTCTTATTTTGCAAAGATACAAGTAATTTTAGTTACTGCTGCAATGTAGAAATGTGTGGTAGATCCAATACAAAGACACTAATCGTACATTGAAGAAGATGAACGAATATTTTGAGCAATTATTCCATCGTCGATTTTGATATTGCAAACTTCGTGTGACCGTTTTATCTCTTATTGGATTATTTATGCGTATCAGATTGCACTATTGTTATATGAAATGCCTTAATGCTGCATCAAAGTGATATTTATTCTATTATTTTGTATTTTTAAGAAATATGTGGAAATACATATGTATGTATGATGATTTTTAAATCATTACTATAATTTCAATCGACAATACATTAAATCTTACAAACGTTTCAGCTCCGTTCGAGCCATCCTCAGTATAATACAATTCTAATTATCATTTCAGCACATTATTCGTGTCGTTCCAGACTCAAACTGTCCGTCGTCAATCCAAGCTCTCATGTTAAAATCTCCAAACAGATGTCGATTGCACGATCCTGAATTTTTCCATCCTGCTATGAACCCGGCGTTTGCAGATTTTAACATGAGAGTTTAGATTGACAGTTTGAGTCTGGAACAACACGAATAATGCGCTGAGATAACAATTAGAATTGCATTACACTGAGGATGGGTCGAAGGAAAACAAAACGTTTGTAAGATTTAATGTATTGAAATTATATATATATATATATA